TTCTTCATGATTTCTTGTAAATTCAGCAAACCTTATACATTCAATTATTGTCCCAGTTTATGCGCTGGTGAGCAGGACACACACACTTTCTTTGTCATCTGTGATGTAAAAATATCAGATTTCCACACAGCTGAAAAAGTAAAAGCATGTGTCCTGCTCATAAAATTCAGTTAGAAAATCCACCAGCGCACCACAGAGCATCTCTCCTGGGCTGACAGTGCAGGTAGAGCATGCCACTCAGGCTGATATAGGAGATTAGTTTGGCGCTGAACTGGAAAAACAAATAACATTGAATTGAATAGTTGAACGGACAGTAATATTGGACATTGACGACATTCAGAGCAGCAGGGAAGTGAGATCTGATCACAAGCGGTCATTCGAGACACGTGGAGACAAATTTTGATGTAAAGTTGTAAACTATACTATAATAAAAACGTGTGTGTGTGTGTGTGTCAGGGCTCAAGGGAGGATGAGGATGACTTCCTGTGCGGGGAGACGCCCCAGGTGGAGGGCATTGTGGGGATGACACCCAGCTCTTACGACTCCAACCTCCGCAGCCCGAGCAGTGTGGGTTCGCCCCCAATCTCCTTCCAGAGACCCTTCTAGTCCCGCATCACAGCCTCTCCTGCTCGGATGGACCGCCCTGCTTCTGACACAAAGTCCAGAAGCTTGTGAGGAGCACACACTTCCCTTTGGAACGGAGAGAGCTGCCACACATGGACAGGAATCTGGTGGCGCATGTTACATTCATCAGGATTCAAACACAAACTGAAGGACACACAAGATGTGACTGATCTCTTCTCGTACAACAATACCCACCTGTGTTCATTCATTTTAAGGGATTTATAGGACTACTTTTTCATGTTTAATCCATAACAATGTGCTGTTAGTGTAGGAACTCCACTGAGAGCCCCAAACTGCTGATAGTCAGACACTAGTACATCTTCTGATGAGATAAGTTTGAACTCTACATAGACTGCTGCAAACTGAGCTTTAAAAGGTGGTATATTGTGAGCAGTAAAATATAGTTTAAGTATGTTTTTGTATGTATTTATGAAACTCATCCTTCTAAAATCCAGTACAGACTACCCAAATTCACACACACCCTCTGCAATGAACTTTGAGTCTTTACCTCACACTGTCCCTGATTCCAAAACATGTTTGATTTTCTCGCTTGTAGTCTTAGCACCTTGGAGACAAGTTCTGTACCAAAACAAAACTGCAATAAACACATTGAATCCAGTCATCAGTTATTCCTTTAATATAAAACAGTAACAGAAAGATATGAGGCCACACCAAAGATACAGGACATTTCAGTGTTCTTAAAAGCATCTGCAGCTGTCCGTAGAAATAAAACCAATGTTCCACATATAGCCTACGACTGACGTCTGCCTAGACTCTGTGACTACCAAACAAGTTTACACAGCAGGAGCTACAGCAACATTAAAGTCGCTCCTGGATGCAGGAGACATCAACATGAACCATGCAGTGATACGAAGCCGCATGTGACAAACACGTCCAACATCTCGGAATACTTTCTCATTCTTTGCCTTTTTAGTAATGAATAAGGGCACGAGGAGAGTTAGTAAGATGGAAGAAGGGACATTATTTTTCTACTTTTTGCTCAATGGTTCCTCTGGAAGAGCAAACAAGCAATGGAGTGTGAAGGAGGCAGATGGCAGCGAATTATTATGACACAGGAAGAACAGACCGGCTCTGGATTGTCCTTTACAGGCAAACAAGACCTCCTTTACATGCAATCCATGGAGTGAATCTATGTTTGTGTACGGGGGTGGGAAGGTGGAGGGGTTAGAAAAGAGGTCAGGGAGGAATATTAACACAGTTTACAGCAGCGTGTGTTGTGGACTCGGTCATGCAGCTCCTCCAACACCACCGGCTGTCAGTGACAGTGAAAAGAGAATTCCAGCAGACTTTTTATTTGGCAGAGCACTTCTCATAGAGACTTCTGTACATATAGAATCATCAAATGATGGGAGTCCTCGGGTCAGAGCTGAGTCCAACGCATCCCACTGCTGAACCCCCCATGAAGACGGTCAAATATTTCAAAGGAAGACACTAATTCGATGTGTGCGAGCAAGCTTTGGCATTAAAACGTTGCTGTGTTCGATCTGTCGCTGTGAGCTCAGGATTTCAATTCACTGAGGCGACGTCGTTATTTTGAGAAGGTTGTTGGACGGTGTCCTGTCCGCCGACTTCTGTATGGTCCATCATGGGTTCAGCTGCTCATTTGGGCCTTTTCAGCCCGCCCGGGTCCTCCCACAGTCCTCTCTGGCTCTTTGATGCTCACACATGATGAGAGCTGACATCTGGGGCTGCCTCCAACGCGCTCTCTGACGCTGCAGGTCAATCACAGTAGGACAGAAATGAACATTATTCACCATCAACATGTAACTTTGCATCACATAAAAACAATAAATAGAACAAAGGAAAAATAAAGAATAGCCAGGAAGGAACAAATAAATACAAGAAAAATAGCTGCTTCAGGCAGAATCTCTATGTATCATAGTCTGATGTGATCCCATAAGGTTATAGAGATGAGGTTTACAACACTAATAAATCAGTAAACTATTAGCTATGTAAAGATATAGTGGAGTCAGCTGGTGTTACACTGTGTGTGAAAACTAGTTTGAAGTCTGCATAGTTAGCTAAAAGTAAAAGATGAATGGTTGAAAAAGTTACCTAAAAAATGTAGAAATGATTGGGGGAAAAGAGTGATAAATGGTCAAAATAGCTAAAAGTAACATTTTCAAAAAAGTGTAGAATGGTGGAGTCGTGTGGAAATAAAGGTATGAAACCACTGATCTAAGTGACCTAACTGGTGGTTTCAGCTCCAGTGTGCTGTGTTCTAGAGTATACCAGTGTGTACCTTGGTCAGCAGGGAGGGTGCTGACTCCCGCCACCAGCTCTTTGGCCTCCACAGCCAGCTGGAAGGCGGGATCAGGAAGTGGTGACGGAGTGTCGGGGCTGTCGGTGGCTGGAGACGACCTGTTGCTCCTGACACACAAACACACATGCACAGGAAGAGAGTTTTAGCAGGCCTCTTGCTGCAGAGCTGTGGGGAACTCATAATGTGACCGTCTCTTACCCGCCTTCTCCTCCAAACAGGCTGGGTGTTGTCAGCACTTTGTGGACGTTCTGAGGACAGAGAAGACATGTAAGACTGAACCAGTACAGACAGAAGGTCTTCATGTGACACCGAAACAAGAACCCTTAAGGTTGCAGACAGAGAGATGAGGGGAGGTCTGATTCCAAAGCCTAAATGAGAGGCAGACTTGGGCCCCTATAAACCTGACCCCTATTTTTTACAGATTATCTGTCTCATGAGTGTGAGTGACACTTATCTTTAAATATAGTTTCAACTAACATGGAAATGAAATATGGCCCCAGATATCTGCCGGGTTACGAGATGTAGCAGAGAGCTGCAGTGTGTGTCTCCTCCACTGGGGGGCAGACTGGCTCTATAACAGCTTGGGATGTTTGGAACGGTCAACTGGTATTTTTGATTGGCTGTCTGTTAATTCCAGTGCATGAGACTGGAAGTGTCCCAGTCTGCGTGGATTATGAGATGAACACATGCTGATTTAGAGCCATACAGGCCTATTAAGTAATTACTGTTACTAAACTTACACTGGGAATCCTTACAAATATGGCAGTCATCTCCCAAACCAGCTACTGGCACAGAGTTTGTGTCAGTCCCTTCAGAGAAGATCGGCTCCTTCTTAAAGAGGAAGTAGTGCATATGTGAGACAGCAGGATGGTGTCTGTGGGATTGAGTCATAATAAGCTACAACATGTCAGCCAGTGCAACAGTGTGGCTCATTGGTGTGTTTTTAATAGTTTTTGGATGAACAGTGGAGCTCTCTGGCACAGAGGAAGATGATATATCAGTACATGTTAGTAAATCCCATGCCCAGAGCCAATCAACTGATGCACGTTCTCCTGAACTGAAAAGCTCATGTCTATAAAGTGAGTGTCAAATAGTCGTACCTGTGCAAAGCCCAGCAGTTTCTTGTTGGAAATCTCCAGATGTTTCCTGCTCTGCTCCGACTTCCTCAGCTGGCAGTCAATGGTTGTCAGCCTCCGGTTCAGCTCCAGCACCTCCTCCTGACACACACACACACACACACTATCATTTGTGTGCACAATAAGCACTAAGAGCAGCTGATAGCATTGTGTAGGTGTGGTTTCCATAGGGAGCTAACAGTGGAACAGACTGAGTGTAACTCAGCTGACATTCATTCCTCTGAAATGTCAACTTTTCCTCATCAGGTAAAACAGCCCTGTTTACAGCTCTGTGCATTTATAAGATAATCCAGTGGGATCTTTGAATGATTTATTTTGATAAATAAGTAGAAAAATATTCTTAACCCATAAAGGAACACTCATTCTCCAAATTTAGAGATACATGGTTTTCCCTGGACAGCAACAATATGCTTTAAATTATGTAATGTATGAGTTAAATAAATCATAATGCCCAAGTTCTGTTTATTTATACAGAAGAGCAGCAGAGTAAATATAGAAGAAAAAGTTATTGTACGGTCAGTGGTGCCAGCTTTTAACCAAATTTCCAGAAAATAAGTGGAAGGATGCACTTTTCCATCCACTGCTGTTCTGTAAACATTAGTTCATTGCTTTATGGAGATAAATAATTGGTGGAGCTAATTCTCTGTCAGGTGCCATTAAAGCATCGCAGAAGAAGAGAACACAAGATGGCGTCACTAAAAGGGCTGCAGTGGAAAACGTGATGGGAACACATTTGTGCTGGTTTCATGTAAGGAAGATTACAGTCTCCTCATCCTCCACATCACTTGCTTGTCCATGTGTCCATTGCACTGCTCCACCCATACACCAACCAAATGTTGGCTTTCACAGCGTTTCTATTCCAAAATGCACATAGAAAGTGACTTTCAATCTGCAGGCTGCTCACAGTTTTGTGGTCCCTCAATCACTGTTCTCTGAGTGCCAGCGCACAGCCAGAGGATTTACCACCTGAGATGAAAAGCCACAGGTAGTGAGGCGGTAAGCCTGAGAGCCAGAGGAAATAAATATAAAGCCTTCTTTTCATCAGAGCAGCTGCTGGTGAAAGCACAGAGCTGTATGGCTCCGTCACTAAGGCTGCTACGGGGTCTCCAGCTCGAGACGGAGGATGGAGAGAGAGGCTCCATGTCCACAGTTGATTGTTGGCTCGACTTCACACCAGCTACAGAGGTTGTTGTTATAAACAGCTGCTTTGTGCGGTTTACCTCCTGTCTGCAGGCACACAGGCGCTCAAAGTGATGCTAACCAACCCACCAGCTCGTCAAATACTCATACAGTACAACACAATACAAATGAGACTCAACACTATCATTCTTGGATCTGATTGGTTGTTTTCATTCAGGCCCAGTGGATTTTGCAAATCCCATCAGGAGCACTAGGAGGAGTCAGAGGAACCTGGTTGTTTTACAGATTATCTGTCTCATGTATTACTACTACTGATACAGTGAAAGTTTCAGAAAGAATATATTTTTGCTTTCTCTCCAATATAATGAAACCAGACAGCTCTCAGCTTGTGGTGCTCAAAGTATATATAAAAAAACGCATTTAAACTCAACAGTATATAATAATAAGTACATCAACTTGCCTTTCCCACAGCAACACTACAATAATACAGCTAACAGCTGTGTGCATTAATAAGAGAACTGAAGCAGACATTTCAAAGTAATGCAAAAGTTACTTTACCTAGTAACTAATTCCATTTTTTGAGAGAATTAACTAGTACCTGTAACTGATTAGTATTTTTTTAGTAACTTTCGCACATTGGAGCCATTTAATGGAACTGTTTTCTTTCTATGTATCACTGCGTAAAAGGAAGCGTGATTCTACTTGTGGGCGAGAGGCTCGTGTGCAGGACGTAAACATTCAGATGTAATTGTTGTGCCACCTGGTTCCGTTATATTAGAGAGAAGATGAACATCTCTACGATTGATATCTCCAAAACCCAGCTACTCACACCAAAACTATCTAGATGGTAAATGATAAATGGACCTGTACTTGTATAGTGCCTTTCTAGTCCACTCAACTACGTGCCACATTCACCCTTTCACACACATTCACACAGCGATGGCAAAGTCCATCGAACAGAAACTAACTCATTCATACACATTCACACACCGATGCTGTGCTCAGGAGCAATTTTGAGGTTCAGTATCTTGCTCAAGGATACTTCGACACGTGGCAGGAGGAGCCGGATCGAACCAACAACCTTCCGATTGGGGGACGACCCGCTTAAACTGTCCCTTTAAGTAAAAGTTGTAAATTGAACTGAATTGAATAAGCAGTTAGAGACTCACCTTGGTGGCCTCCACTCCTCGTGCTTGCCTCTTGCTGGCCAGCTGGTTCTTCAGGTCTCTGATCTCAGCCTCCAGCAACTGGATCACCTCCTCGTAGTCCTGCTCCGCACCGCTGGCCTGCTGCTGGCCTGTCTCGGCCTCAGCCGCCTGCAGACGACTCTTCAGACGTGTGTTCTCCTCCACGGTCAAACACGCTTTCTGGGAACGGCCCCATATACTATATATTCAGACACCTGTAGCAGACTCTTTGATTTCACATGTGCACATTAATCTCACTGGCATTTAACTGGTTTCAACATGTAACCTGATAAAACAGCAGCCTGCTCTCACCTCCGAGGTCTTCTGCAGCTCCTCCTCCAGGCTTTTCTTGCTGTGCTCCATGTCCTTCAACATCACCTGCCAACAGAGGCAGCAGATGAAGCCCGGGAGCTTTTACAGCTGGAACCATCAGGTCAGTGGGTGTGAGCCCGCTGTGGCTGGCTGAAACCAGGCTACATAATCGGGGAAACACTCCTTTCTGCCCGCATTAATTTCATCTGGTTACCATTATGACATGTTTTAGTGCCAGCTGATAATTTCTCAGTGACACTGGCAAACAGATTAAAGTTGTGTGCTGAATATGTTGATAAAACCCCAGTTTTAATTCTTTTTATGGCCAACATTGTATTTGCATTCTGTAATGACGTCCCTACGTTGACAGACAAGAGCATTGGTGAGAGAGAGGTGATGACATGTGCAGGGTTTCCATACGTCCTGGAAAAGCTGGAAATTTAGAGCCTAGTTTTTCCAGTCATGGAAAACAACCTGGAAATTTAATAAAATGACCAAATATCCTGCAATATAATTCATCCTGGAACATACTCACTCAGATCGCCTACATAAACTGTGTGTGTATTTTAGTTTGAAACTCGACTGTCGGTTGGAAAACTGGATGACACTTCAAACAGGTTTACAGAATGTAAAGTGGAACTGACTGCACTCATCTTTTGAGCACTGAATCAATTTTTTCAGAGCTACAAGCGAAATTCGTGCCACGGGTCGGACTGGAAACCGTAAACATGAAGTTGATTGTCACTTCCTTAACTAGTTAGCATTTGTAGATTTCCATTTGAACTACCCAAGTGAAAACAAGATGAGAGACAGGAATTGTGCCTATAGATACATAGGTTACTAATAAGCTGTTGAAATGTTACAAACACAAACTCTTAATCTGTAGGTGGACTATCTGTATGAACTGTAACTGAAAATGTTCAGTGGCTACTGTCAATGAAGGCTCTTTTAAATATTGAGGGGACAAATGGAACTAACTAGGCCTACAATCTGAAGGATTACATTGTAAATGTTACAAACACATTACAGCTAATTTTAAAACCGTTCCGATTGGCTCAGTAGCATCACTGCAGAGTTCCTCCAATGCTCCAAGCTCTACTCAATTAAATTCTAAAATCTCAAGAGGATCTTAGACAAATGGTTGAGTAAATCACAATTGTTTGATATAATTGTATAAGTGTTATCCATTCACCAATACATTGTGTGTGAGAGTTTGTGTGTGTTCACCTTGAGCTGCTTCATCTGGGTTTGCAGCTGCTTCACCTCTGTCTGAAACTGCTCCATCTCCTCACTGCTGTAGCTGCATTCTGACTCATATGTCTGCACGCACACGCACACACACGCACACACACACACACACACACAACATTATGACACGTTATGTTTATGACTTGCATTTTTTACAAATCACCATCTTGATGTACTAATCTCGGAATTCTTTTCATCCATTTATTGACATTAAATCACAGCATGAACTGTTTATTTTAGACTAATACCATTACTAAAGGGGGGTGAATATTCGCCTCATGTTTGGTGGGAACACACCATTACAAAAGGGTAAGGCTGTGAGGACTGCTTACGGGGGAGTGGAAGGCTGACGTGTCCATCAAACTGGCTGCTTCATGATAGGAAAACATGAAGGGACCCGCCCCTAAACCAAGTTCCTCCAGGTTCTCCTGGAAGATGTTCCGGGTGGCCTCCACGAAGTCTGACAGTGGACAGAAAAGCACAGGTAGGAAATGTTTGCTACTAATGACAGAAAGGCCAGGGTTACCATGGCTACCAAGACACCAACTTATACAGTAAGAAGAGTTTCATGCAGACATAAGTGAACAATGGTAGAAATGTTTATGATGTTATTAATTGATGTCATAAATTTAAAAATCTATCTACGGGTTAGATAGATGGGATTTAGAACATTAATATAGCAGCAAACAACTATTAGCTATGTGAACATATAGTGGAGTCATGGTTTCCTGAGCAGAGAATTGACGTCACACTCCCCTTTGCCTGTGCTGTAATCCAGGTGCTGTGGTTTGTTTACATAGCTGGTTGGGCCACACGTGCCTGTTAGTGCATGTGAGTTCTTCTGTGTACAGCTGAGTAGGGCAACTGAAACGGCTGTTTTTATCATCTGTGTCGGTGAATTATGGATTTTTTGGGTGATTGTTGGAACGGTGGAAAGTGTTTTGGTGAATTTTATCTAATTTCTGTCAAGTTTTGATTATGTTTATATTCGAGGTATCGAATTAACCTCTCTCTTTCAAACACTAAAGAAGTGCTATCTATACTGCTGTTAGAAGAAATGATACATAGACATAGCAGGTCTAACTTGGTCACCATTCATTGAATATATTGAAAGTCCATCACAAAATAACTGTTCCCCAGTCAATGTCAATGTATAACCATGTGCTATTCAGAAGCCAAACCAGCTCCAGTCATAGAAATGCTTCTGCCTGGATACAAGCAGTCACAGAGATGCCTCGTGGTTATGCAATGTGACACCACACAAAGTGACATAAGCAGTAACTGACATGCAGCCGTCACACGGAGCCTGTGACTTGACAGGATTTCAGCACAGATATTTCACCTTGCTGTTGACACAACTGGAAGCGTGTATGTTTGTGTGTGTGTGTGTTTCTGTACGTGTGCTTCTGTACGTGTGCTTTACCTCCATAGGCCACAGTGCCTTGTGGGTCTGTGGTCAGACTCTGCCTCAACTTCTTCCTTTTCTCTTCTGTGACATCCAATCCGAGGAAGGACAGAGCCTGAGAGACAGAGACGAAAGATGAACAGAGATAGAGTTGACTTGGGTCATTTTAGCAAGGTGCCATTGCAACATTGCTTAAGAACTATAGTATGTACTGTCATCAAACAGCAGCACTATTCAAGCTTGCCCACAAGTTTTTTCACATTTAAATATTTACACATGCACGCTTAGGGTTTGTATAATTCATATAAACAGATATCTGTATATAAATGCAGAATCTGAAGTATTTTGGCATTGGAAGCCTTCTGGTTTCTGTTTGTAGTCCAAGTAGGTTTGACCAATCACATTTCAGTGGGCTTTGGCTGCATGCAGGCAAGCAGTCAGTCAACGTGGAACACATTGGCCGAAATGCAAATTTGGAACTGTTCTCATCAGTCGGTTTAGCTTTTTATTAACTTTTAGAAAATGGATCTACATTCATATGTAGATAGCTGTTTATAGAGGTTTGTCTTTCTCGTCATTCTTGCGTATCAAGGTTCCAATCACTTAGACTGCAGAGGAAGTATGGCCCAGATATCTGTTATCCAGATATAAACTGGCTACATCGAACCCTGGGTTCTGAGATTGGGGTTTGTCTACTGAAAGTTGTTGATATACATGGATTGGACAATATATGAACAGGTCTCCAGGAACCTAAACACAACCTGGTTAAGATATATTTTAGATAAATGTTACCTGGAACTGCTTTAAGCATTACTTAAACCACCAAAATAAGCTGCATCAAGGACTTAGCCTTGATACATGGGGCGCCAACTCTACCAGGTGAGCTACCATGGTGCTGCAGGCTCAGCTTTTCCTCTGATAACTTAAGATCCAGACGTCCGATGACTAAAATCCTTCATCCGGTTCAAATCTAGAGGTTTAAAAAGCACCAAGATCTATAAACAGTGGATGGTAAAAAGCGGCTTCAAACTGAATAAAATCAATGTATGACAGCTCTGGCAGACAACCACAACGTGACGCAGGCACCAAAGGGATATGACGCCATGACAGGCGACCGGTGAAACGCAGTGGTTACCTGAATATAGGTTGAAACTTGTAAAAACTAGTTTGAACTTTGAATGGAAAAATCTGGAGATAATGGAAGTAAACAGCTCAACTACATAGCTCTCATAGTAAAAATATCCATAATCCATCTCACTCTTTCTCTTTTGCAAAAGGAGCCAACAGATCAAGAGAGATTGTGCCTGTATTCAACATTCAAACTATCTGTCTCTCTAATCCCTTAATGAATTGCAAGATAAGGTCAAACTAGGGCTGAGCGGGGATCCGGACAAAATTAAAAGCTGAATACGGTAACAGAACTGTAAAGATTGCCGAGACAGAAAGCTGGAGAACCAGCAGAAGGAAATAGAGACCGTCGGCGAGAGATGGGAGGCTGGGGGGCAGGGGTGAGAGAGGGGAGTAGGGACGAGAATTGCTGATAGGGTAAAAATAACTGTACAAATGAAGAACCGGTGTGAGATAGAGCAAACCAGAGAGAGACTGTGACGAGAGAGATCAATAACTAGATGAGAGAGGAGCTTGGGCGTGAAAAGTGCTACAACAGTGAAAAGTTGCAAGTGAGTTTATCAGAATTAGAAGAATCATCAGTGTAAATTGCTTTTATGGGGCTCCTTAAAGACAGACTTTCCAGTTCGGATATGCCATTAAAGTTACTGAGGCACATGGCCATTTTGAATCTAACAAGCCCATGGCATTTCTATGTAAACCACAATACTGTAAAGGCTCTGAAAATGGCAACCTGCACTGTCAGCCAAATCATCTGAAATTATATGCTGTGTTTAACCACTCAAGAGAGAGGGTTGGATGAGCAGAGAATATTCATGCACATAGCAGAAAAATAAAGCTATAGTCAGAAGTAAATACCCCACAGCCGAAATTAATTCCACTTCAAACACAATGATGCGTCACACAGCAGGGAGAAATAGATTAGCAGCATGGGTCGAAAATGGACTCCTCTGAGCAGAGGACCGCAGCTCACCAAGTCTAACTGTCTGATTTGAGGCGGATGTAGGGGTCAGTGTTATCTTGGGGTTTGGTCCCCTGTTTGCGGGACCTCTGGCTGGTTGAACCTTGGAGAAGAAAAAAAAAAGGGGAGGAGAAAAGAAAGAAGAAAAAAAAAATCAATAATAGGAGGTGATTTTTTGTCAAAGACAGGACCATATAAAAATATATTTAGAAAATAGTAGTTTATATGGAGATATGGAAGTATTTAAAAGAGAATGAAGAGGAGTATATGAGGGTCACAAATACACAAGGTAAACAACAGGAGAGAAATATCATTGGATAATCTGTAATATCAGAGTGGATGGACAAGATATTCCCGGTGGATTTGGTGGAAGTGAGTGGTTGTGGTGATAAGGTGGTGTGTGTGTGGTGTGTGTGTGTGTGGTGTGTGTGTGTGTGTGTGTGTGTGTTTGGGTGAGAATGAAGAGCAGATGATTTAAAAGAAGAGAGTGGACGGTAAGGTGGATGATTATATAGATGAGAGTGAGGGAAAAACAGTGAGCTGAGGAAGGGCAGACAGCCAATGCCTAATTATTAATTTTGATGAGTTTGTCTGTCCCAGATTTTGTGAGTCTGCTTGCTGTGAACTCTCTGTGTTCGTGTGTGTTGTGTGTGTGTGTGTGTGTGTGTGTGTGTGGTGTGTGAAGAGTGTGTGTGTTGTGGGTGTGTGTGAGAGTGAGAGAAGAGAGAGGAAGGAGAGAGAGAGAGCACTTTACCTAGGGGGTATGAGCTGATTTCACTGACTACCCTCCCCCTCCAAAGGATTTGCAGCCCCCAAGGGTGCTGAGATTGGACAGACTGCTGTCGTGACAACAGCCGCTGCTTTAACCCTGTTACTCCCAGACACCAGTCCACATCATACAACTTGTTTGTTATTTCTAGTTAAAGACTACAGTAATTTTGTTCAGATTACATCAATCAATTCAATTCAATTTTAATTTGTATAGCCCAATTCAAACAGAAGTTATCTCAGGACACTTTGAAATAGAGCAGTCTAGACTGAACTCTTTTTAACATTTACAGTGAGACCCAACAGTACCACATGAGCAAGGCACTTTTGGCCGACGGGGGCAAGGAAAAACTGCCTTTTAACAGGCAGAAACCTCGGACAGACCATTCGGCTCTAGGTGGTGGTCATCTGCCTTGACCAGTTGGGGGGGATGGAGAGAGAGAGAGATGAAGAGAGAGAGAGAAGAGAGAGATGAGAGAGACAGAAGAAGACAAAACAGATTACAGCAACAACAGCAAGCAACAATACATTAATAGTAGTGACCGATGACGATCATGAAAAAGACGGTGACGACGACGACGACAGCAGCAACGACAGGGGACAGCGAGCAGCGACAACAGCAACCGCAGCAACAACAATACTCAACAACAACTAATAATAATAACAATATATCAGTGATATTGCAATGGCAGTCTAGCAGGACCATGGGCAGGAGGCTCCACCAATCCATGAGAACCTGCAGACGATAACCAGCACAAGAAACTCCGGGGAAGAAGTGAAGTTTAGCTAACATGCATTAATGGGACCATGAATGAGTGCAGAAAGGAGAGAGGAGAGGAAGAGAGGAGCTCAGTTGCACCATGGGAAATCCCCCGATAGTCTAGCCTATAGCAGCAATAACTAAAGATGGTTCAGGACTCACCTGATCAGCCTTAACTATAAGCTTTATCAAAAGAGAAATGTCTTAAGCTACTCTTAAATTGTGGAGAGGGTGTCTGCCTTCCCGAACCACGACTGGAAGCTGGTTCCACAGGAGAGGGAGCTTGGTAAACTGAAGGTCTGGCTCCTGTTCTGCTTTTAGAGACTAATAGGAACCACAAGTAGCCCAGCATTCAGAGAACGTTAGTGTTCTAGAGGGGTAAATATGGTACTATGACTCTTCAACGATATGAAGGGGCTGACCATGAAAGAGCTTATAGGTGAGGAGGAGGATTTTAAATTTCTATTCTAAAATTTAGACAGGGAGCCAATTGCATGAGAAGTCTAGAAACAGGAGAGATAATGACTCTTCTTGCCTATGTTTCCTGTCAAGTACTCGTGCTGCAGCTGTTTCTGAATTAATTTGGAGCGTTTTAATGCGACTTTATTAGGGCAACCTGTGATAACAAAGAGTTGCCAGTTAATCCAGCCCTTGACAGTAGACAAAGATGCATGGATTAGTTTTTCGTGCATCTGTCTGGGTGATTAAGATGTGTCTAAATTTTTAGTAAGTATTACGTAAAATGAAAAGCAAAGGCAAGTCCCCTAGAAGATCTGCTTTTATCATTGGGAGTTAAAATGACAAAGTCCTGATCAAAGATAACTCCAAGATCCTGACCAGTGGGCCACTAGAGGCCAAGGTTAATGCCATCTAGGGAGTAGCTATATATCTTCGTTAGAAAGTGAGTCTCTGAGGTTTTGTGGGGCCATAGTATAAGAATTTCGTTTTTTTTCTGAGGTTTAACATCAGAACAAATTGCAGGCTCATTTCCAGGGATTTTAGTGTCCTGAAAGACATGGTTTGTAATTTAGATAATTCGATTAAATTTCATCAGGCTTTGACTTGATAGATATAACTGCGTATTCATCTGCATAGCAATGGGAAAGTTAATGGAGTGATTCCTAATAATGGGTTTGCCTAAAGGGAGCATTATATAAAGGTTAAATAGCATTTGGTCCAGAGTACAGGAACCTTGTGGGTAACTCGCATGAGTTAACTGTAGTATTATATTGAAGATTTCCTTTTATGCGTTAAACATTGAACAGAACTGGTGAACGATCTGAGTAAGATAGGACCTAAAACCAGCTTAGTGCTGGTTCCTTTAATGGCCAATTTGTTCGCTCAAGTGGTCTCTGTAAAAGAATTATTATTGGTCAATGTTTGTCAAATGCACGCAGCTAAGATCTAATGTTAGGATGACAAGTATTTTTTTGTTTTTTTTTTTGTGTTTCTTTGTTTTTTTTGTTTTTTTTCAGATGATCAAGACCAGTTCAGTTCAGAGGCAATCAATGCAAGGTCATTACTAACTTCTAAACCAGAGCTGGTCTCTGTGCTTGTGATGAACTTCTAAATCCTTGACTCTGAAACAATCCTCAAATAAATTGATTGCTATGTTAAAAAAGGGTCATTATTATGTGCCATTAAGTTTAAGAATGTCTGTATCTTTGAGATGGAGCCTTGCAATTAGTTATTATATGTGTATTGTGGTGACTAGATTTTCTCTCTCTAATAGTAATAATTTTTATTATAAAAGAAGTTCATAAAGTCATTGCCCGTACTTCAAATTTATGGGGGATACATTGCTCAATGGATGCCTGTTGACTCTCTGTCAATGCCTGGTCTACAATGTTGCTTGAATGAGGAACCTATTGCGGTGTTCTTATTTCTTCTATTATGTGCTGAGTAAATAGGCCTTCCTCTGCGCACCCTTTACTGGATGTTGGCCGTTCTCTATAATTCTTAAGATCATTTTGCCAAATCAATGCGACACCCTAAGTAAATTTTCGAATCGCTGCGCATTTCCTTTCTTGATTTCCTTGTTTCTTGCTTTAATTTGCGATGTCTTGTTGTGGTTGTACCACGGTGCTAGTTTCCTATGTTTTATTATTTTCTGTTTTCTAGTGAGCTGATGTTGATCGCAGAGAGGCCTGGCAGCACTATTAACAAGACTTATCAATGTTTGGGTTAGGTACTAAAGTGTGTTATAGGACTCTGTTATATTCAGACATTGCATTTGAATTGTAACACTGAAGGAATTCTCCTCCTTAAATTTAGCTACAGCACTGTAACATGATAGACATCTGCTTTGTATGAAGTTTGTGCCTAATGTCTTATAATCTAATAATAGAAATTTCAAGTTATTTAAATAATTTGGTCAGATAGTGATGAGTGATTATTTTGTGGAAAGACTATTAAATGTTTCAATATCAATCGCCATATGATAGAACTACGTGTAGTTCAAGATGTGTGATTAAAACAATGGTAGTTGGTTTATTTACACTGGACATAAGATGCCAAATTAGAAGTCTAATTAATTAGAGATAAATTGGCATTACTAAGGCTGGTCATTGGTCAACATTCCGGACCATGAATATTAAATATCACCTACAATAATTACTCTTATCTGTAATCTTAATTGCGACTAAAACTTGATAAAAACTCATGGTAGAATTCAGATTATAAAATCAGAGTACGTGTTCCAATGTAGGACGCGGTACACTATAACGAATAAAAACTGGCTTGCATGAGGTTTTTCCAGTTTGTGATTGAGTTAAGACTAAGAACAAAGGCTTTCAATATGAATTATAATTTAGTTTAAGTGTTTATGTGGTCCATTAAAACGCTCTGAATTCCATATATGGCTGCCTACTCCACACTCCTCGGCCTCGGGGGATTTCGGGGGACATTGTCCCACTCGAAGTAAGGAAACTTAAAAACTTAAAAAAAATATTGCACTTCTTTAGTAATTAGCCATCAACTGTCTTTTTCATTCATTTCTTCCTTGTTTTTTTGTGTTCCATCATGTGTGTACCAGTTTTTGAAAGCCTGTGGTTGTTTAACAGCCTTTGAAAACCCTTGAAAATAAAACTAGTGAACGGTGAGGTCACACAAAGACAAGAAAAAGAGAAATGATTATGTAAAAAATGTTGACACTTGGACACATGGACACATACACCAAGGGGTTAAAGCTAGTAGGTAACTTTCATAAAAATAA